TTTACTCCTTGGGCTACTTAATCATGTATATAGAAAAGATTTCAGCTCCATTCCAGAATTATAACAACTTTAATATTCTTTGATATCTATATTTCGGTCTTACATTGTACCAATACCTATTCGATCGTCTTAAGAGATAGAACCAAATTTCTTCATTAGTTTTTAAAGAAGGCACCTGGAGCTAGTCACATACAGTCGGATTTTTCATTTTCTTATTTGTTGACTTTTTAAGAGACGCATCACGTAAAAAGAGACGAGGAATGTTAAACTGCAACCCTTCTGAATTATGTTCTTTATCTATGCCATTTTTCTATTGATCAAAAATATTTCTCATGTTTAAACAATCAATGATCGAATGATTTGATTTTAGATTTACACATGTCGAAGCAGAATGTGCATTTATTACTTTCAATGATCTTCTTGATCGTATGGAAGATCTTGTTGTTGATGTAACAGAACGAATATTAAAACATCCAGAAGGAGGTCCACTTTTATATGAAGTAAATCCGGTATGTATATTAGAATATTACTTTTACAACTATTTGAGTATGAACATTGTGAAAATACTTCAGATAGAGAATTATTTATTTTCCTTTTTTATAAATAGAATATTAAACCATTAAAAAGACCGTTGAAACGAATGAATTATAGTGAAGGTATTGAATATTTGAAAAAACATGATATACGTAATGAAGAAGGTGAATTTTATAAATTTGGCGATGTAAGTTAGTTATTTATTTTATTTTCTCTGATTTTGTCTTTTATTTATATGTACGTAGATTTCTTTTTTCTTTGTATTTAGGATATTCCTGAAGCACCAGAACGTAAAATGACTGATGAAATTAATGAACCAATATTATTTTGTCGCTTTCCAGCTGAAATTAAATCATTTTATATGCAACGTGATCCTAGTGATAATCGTTTAACTGAATCGGTTAGTAAAAATAAATATAGCATATACGATTCCTATTTAAAATTCAAAAATAATGATCAATTGTACTCATACAGAAGTTATTGATTAGTTAAAAAACCTGAGATGAACGCAAACCTGCTCTGTTCTACCTACCTTGACTAAATAGAATGTAATGTTCAAGAATTCTTTTAAAAATATTTTCTAGTGTGATTTATTAATGCCTGGTGTTGGTGAAATTATTGGTGGTTCAATGAGAATGATTAGTTATGAACAATTAACGGAAAGTTTTAGAAGAAATGGTCTTCAACTGGAGCCATATTACTGGTATCTT